AATGGCGCAGATAATTTTGCTTTGGCCCAAAAGAAACTACGTAATTCAGGGAGAGATAAAGACATAGCTGTAAGACGCATTTCTTTTTCAAGGAATTCATCTGACTTGTCATCCGAAGAAGATAAACCTGCAAGTCCCGAACGCAAAGTGACAAATTTGAGCCACAGAAGCGTTAGAAACAATTCATCTGGCGCATCTTACTCGTCATCCGAGGAAGATGAACCTTCAAGTCCTGAATGTAAAGTTACAAAATTCAGTGACAAAAACGTAAGAAAAAACCCTCGTAGCGATAGTGCAGACTCGAATGAGGATAGAGACGAAGAGCTTGTCCCGGTGTGGGCAGTAAGTGACTACACATCCAATTTTAATGAATGTACAAGTTTAGGTTACCGAGAATAAATAATTGCTGTCAATTTTTCTACAACTAATCTCAATACAATCTCTTAAATTTCAAAATTAATCTCCATAATTAAAAGTAAATCAGTCTGAAATTCTAAAAGTTTTGATGTTGGCGAACGTGATCGGCAAATTTTCATGTCCACACCACTTCTAATTTGCTCGATAACAACTTAATCCCACAGTCTGTTGACGGTAACTCTCGTTCCCATTTCATTAAATACGAATAGTATTGACTATGGATAATCGGTCCGCAATAAACAAAAAGTCAAACGTGCGACAATAAGTCGCGGCAAGACTAGCCGAAAAATTTTCTAAAGCTAGCAAAATGGACTGGAATTTGTCTTCCATGGTAAATGACATTGAAGCATACCTAAAACGGGAGCGCTGCTAATTGAGGATAAGCTATTACATAGTATTTACTTTATTGACAGATAACCACTAGAATGACCTGATCAAGGAGACTCAAACTTTACTAAGAGAAACGTGTCAGTCAGGCATGCCAAACATGGGATAAATGAAATAGAAATATTTGTCTTACATGGTAAAAGGCATGAACAGTAACCGACATTCAAGCATACCTAAAACGGAAGCGCCATGAACGGAACCAACTTGTAGAGAATGTTTTGACCGATAAACGTCGAATTGCCAAAAACGAACGAATTTTAAGCCAGCAGCAGAAGCATGAACTGTCGCCGCGACAGTTCATGTCGACGAATGCTCCCTTGATTATTACGGTTTTCACCGATCAGAAACCAAATCGTGCAAATAACATCTTATACAAATGGAAATTTCACATTAAATTTATTACGCTAGGAGAGTTCAAAGGGACATGGTTCACTATTTGCTGCTCGGCAATATTCATTGAAAAAATTTATAAGATGGTTCAACACAAATTTGATCTAAAAGATTCAACACCCTTTTAAAATAACTATTAATATAAAGATTCGTGTTTCAAAGCCTAGATATTTAGGATAAGTCTTGGACATTAGTCAACATAGGCTGAAACATTCTCAATGATTATATCAGGAGATATAAATGATTATCAATGTTTAATCAGGAGATATATCATCATTCTCAATCATGACAATCTTTGGTGAGACAAAAACATGGCAATCTTTGGTGAGAGACAATCATGGCAATCTTTGGTGAGAGGAAATTTCAAAACCAAAGATTGCCTCTCACCAAAGATTGTCATGATTGTGTCTCACCAAAGATTGCCATGATTGTGTCTCACTAAAGATTGTCATGATTGTCTCTCACCAAAGATTGTCATGATTGCCTCTCACCAAAGATTGCCATGATTGTGTCTCACCAAAGATTGCCATGATTGTCTCTCACCAAAGATTGTCATTATTGTGTTTCACCAAAGATTGCCATGATTGTGTCTCATCAAAGATTATCATGATTGTCTCTCACCAAAGATTTTCATGTTTTTGTCTCACCAATGATACAAAAATAAAACAGCGAAAGGAAAACATGTCAAGACAACTTAATGATAATGCACAATGATCTTACTAAAACTTTGCGCAAGCACGATTTTAGCACATGTCACTGAAAGTTCTATCAAACGCTTATGGCTACATCGATCTGTCTGATTTTTGGTGGAAAGATGCAGAAACACATAGGGAACAAATCCTGGACTTCAAAAAATTTTTAACTCTATTACTTTTTGAGTTACAGTCATTCAAAGTTGGGTATCATTTTTTTGTGACGCCCTGTATAGGCATCATCTTTTGGAACTCTTATATTGACTTCGCACCCAGGTCAGGCGGATGGTTTCTGATCGGTGAAAACCGTAATAATCAAGGGAGCATTCCTCGACATGAACTGTCGCGGCGACAGTTCATGCTTCTGCTGCTGGCTTAAAATTCGTTCGCTTTTGGCAATTCAACGTTTATCGGTCAAAACATTCTCCACAAGTGGTTCCGTTCATGGCGCTTCCGTTTTAGGTATGCTTGAATGTCGGATACTGTTCATGCCTTTTACCATGTAAGACAAATATTTCTATTTCATTTATCTCATGTTCGACATGCCTTACTGACACGTTTCCCTTAGTAAAGTTTGAGTCTGCTTGATCAGGTCATTCTAGTGGTTATCTGTCAATAAAGTAAATACTGTGTATTAGCTTATCCTCAATTGCATTATCAGATAGATGCTGTCTGAATAATTAAAATGATTACATTTAACCAAGGTAATTCCATCCGATGATGTGCTGAGGTCCGGATTAGATGACACCAAGCGAAGTTTTTTAAATTAAAGTTTTTTGGTCTAATTCGCTGTTTCTGTTTTCACCCTTAGAAGCAAAACAGAATGAATAATTGAAAAGAATAAAGCATAATAAATAAATAAAAACAAATGTACGGCAATCTAGTTTCTGTTTCCTTTTCAGAGCTAATTCTTATCTAATCGAGCGATGATAAGTCTATATCTACTACAACCCGTTGACCTTCAGAATTGGACCTGCTCAGTCACTTGAATCTGTTCAGATACAACTGGTTGCATGCTTGTTATTTCTGTTGCTCTTCTGTTGCCCTGTCTAATTTTATTGTCGCCGTAAGATTTTTCTCATATTTTGGAGTGATTTCCTATTTGGAGCTTTAATTAGACTAATAACATTAATATATTATATAATGGGTATAATATTTAGGTATTCGTACGCATTTCAATATGTGCTAATATCGGTCAAAACAAGGACTAAATGTTTACAGGGTCATCAATATTTAGCGTTACAACTTTGAGTGGTTAGAACTATGAAATGAAACACAATTGTGAATATTTGAAAATGTATTTATGTAGGCAGAGGTTCAGAGATACAATTCCCACAATTTCAGTCAATATGACCACCATCTGCATCAATAACGAGTTGTAGACGCTTAGAGAAAGCCTTACACGAGTCACGAATGACACTCTGCGGGATTTTGGCCCACTACTTCAGCAGTTTGACCTTTAGGGCGTCCAAACTGTGATGGTGAACGGTCGAGACCTTTGCAGCAAGGTATGACCAGATCCCAAAATCCAGAGGATTCAGATCGGGTGACGATGGGGGTCATTCATCTTTGGTAATGAAGTGGGGAACATTCTCGGACAGCCACTCTTGAATCGATTTGGCCCCATGGTATGGTGCAGAGTCCTGCTGGAACGACCAGGGACGTTTTTTGAAGTGCTTTCATGCCCAGGGCAACAATGCACCAACAATTGGATGGCATCTCGATAGTTCTTCTGATTCAATTTCGCCCCTTTGTCAACAAAAAAGAGGGGACGCCTTGAGGACTCTGTTACGGCTGCCCAGACCATCACTGAGGTCGGGCATTGCTTCCTAGTCACTACACGGGATCCTTCGTCCCCATTCTTCGACCAAATTTTATCATTTTGGGAGTTGAAGTGGTGTTCAACATTGAATATCTTCTCATCACTGAAAACGAGGTTTGGCAGCGTGCCATCATGAATGCGGGAAAGAAGAATCTTGGATCTTTGGAGGCGTTTGTCAACAACTTGAGCAGACAGTTGGTGTTTTTTGACATGCTTGAATGGGGACATCTTTAGGTCCTTCCGGAGAACAGTCGACATGGTTCCATATGACACATTTGACTGTTTTGCGAGTTTTTGGATGGTTCTCTTGGGGTTCCTCCTAATCTTTTCTCTGGTGGAATTTATCAGTTTAGGGGTTCTAACAGTTCTTGGACGACCTTGCCCTGACCTATTCTGAACATCTCCAGTCTCCTCGTAACGTTTTACGGTCCTCCAAACCAACATTCTGTTGACTTTCAGGCTCTTCGAAATAACCTTTTTGGAGTTCCCAGCTTTAAACAGCTCAACAATTGCAGTTTGCTTTTTGACAACACTACTCATGACTGTTTTTTAATGTCTGAAATGATAAAGATTAATGAGAAGGTGTAAACAAATGACAAATATAGAGGACAATTATCAACAATTGATTTTGAAAACAAATGTAACGCTAAATATTGATGACCCTGTATATAACATGTAAGCATGATTCTAGTTTTCTAGCAAAAGCTCGCTCGTAAATAGAATTAATTGCAAATTGAAACAGTACATAAGTTTAATACTACAAGGCTCGTCGCAATTCATCCTTTTATGAATAACAAAATAGAAAATGTGGAAAATTTGCTTTTAAATTATTCACAAAAAATGTGTGTGAGGACCGCATAAACGTCATAATATTTTTTCGAAATAATCGTAAGCATCTGTTAATTATTTTATTCGAGAATATAACACTTGCCATATTCAATTATTTATTCATATATATTTTTGCGAGATTCCTGTCGGATATAGTTTCTTGAACAACAAGAAAACAAGGCTGCAAATTCAAATGGACATAATGCACAAAATAATAGTCACGATCTAACGGCATTTTGATGTAATTAATTCCTATGAGGTTTTTAGACAGAGGGTTTAGTCAGATGACTCGAGAACGGAGAAAGGAAAATATTTCGAGTCTCAGCCTGAAGCAATGTTATGGCTAAAACATCCCAAGGTTGATTAGTAATGTACTCAAACATACCTGTAGTCTGTGTAGAGATATGACACGATTACATATTTTCTAAACTTCTATCTTTTGTTTATAATAATGCAGATTTTTTGTAGTACCTATATAGGCAAATAATTATTACAATATGGTGTTGGCTAAGACTTGGATGCTAGATAAGATGCCTAATGGTGTGCCATACGAGGAAAATTTTAAGCTTGTCACAGAGGAGCTTCCTTCTCCCAACGATGGAGGTAAAGCTATTATACAATAATTTAATAACCCTCATGATTCCAGTTCATTTATTCCTCTTAACGCATTCAAGTCAATTTGTATTGTACACATTGTCATTGCGTGCGATATCTGTTGTAGATGCAGTCTCCTATCTAGAACTTGCTCCCAACAAATATTATGCTCGTATATGGCATTTTTGTGCCTCTCACAGAGAGTGTGCTACTGCATTACTAAGATCAAGTTAAATTTTATCTCAGGTAAATTTGTACTCCAAAATTTCAACAATATATATGTTTGAAATAAGCCATGAAGCAAGTCAAATCTGCATTTAATACCCTCACTGATTGAAGTAGCTAATTTTCTAGGACTCTAGTTACGTAAATTACTTATTGGTCTACGATGGAAGCAAAATTAGCAAATACAAATTACTCATCACGATCAAAGCGATATACTATTAAATAGATGTAACTTGGGATCTATGAGTTTCAGTTAAATGCTCTGTGGGCAGAATTGATTGTTCAAGCCGAGTGGCTGAGCGTGGATCCATACATGCGTTATTTAATCAGAGACATTAATGTCGTAATTATTAATGTATAATAATAATGATATTATCCCTGGGAGGCAAGTTGCCAGGTATGGTTTCATGAGATTCAATTGCGCTGCTATGAGCTTGCTGTGGTATATGCCCTGAAAGTAGTTTCATTTTTAAAATCTTCTTCGTTGAATATAATGTTATACATACAGGTTATGCAACGCAGGTGAATACAAATATCAAAAGTGAAATTTCTATGACTGATGTATGATATTGAGGGTTCAGAATTCTTAAAAATATGTCATACTTCGCACGAATACCACTTATGAGCAATATTCCCCAAAGAATTTGAAAGCAAATAAAATGCTACGAAAATTCACAATGTTTGCAAAAATTATTTCGGATAACAGCTCGTTCATAAGCTCAAAAATCGGTATGACAGTATTTCCAATTCGCACTACTAAATTAACATATTAGACATTAAAGACCTGTATTTGAAAGCCAAGCGAGATGGGGCTTTAAAGTAAAAATTTGAACACATGCACTTTGCAGCATTCAGTGTAACTGCGCACTGCTTCTTTGAGGTGGATATGCAAGAAGGTTTCTAGTACGATACCTACTCACGTTGCGTATGAGTTGCGTTATTTAATGTAGTACCCCAATCGTACCAGCTCTCTTAACTTAGTCGTCCGAAGTGGTCATACTTGTATTCTTAAATTTTCAAATGGTCGGGAAGCTGTTATCTAAAATGTTATCAATTAATGGAATTAACTATTTTTTTGTTTGGACCTCCATTGCTTTCAAATTATTGGTTTATTTGAGATTTGAGGAAACTCATGATATCAATCCTATTCGATCATATAACAAATAAGCGTTTTGAGAAGGTTAAAAATTAACGTTTCATTTCAGAGTAATTGAGAGCAAGAATTTGGAATACCCAGTAGGCAGCCGTGTGCTAGGAGACTTTGGCTGGCGGTCACACACGCTCCTGCCTCTTAAGAAAGCTGATGGCACCACCGCTGATGACGTCTACAATTTTGCGCATCTGTTGCCCGAGATTGAAGGACTTCCACACTCAACTGCCCTTGGAGTGTTGGGGAGGCCAGGGTGAGAAGATAACCGTTTTGTCTTGTCTTAGCGGTTTCAGCGTCAGTAGGCCGTAAGCCTGTCGCCGGTTCTTGACATCGCAGAACATTCACAGTATTTTGCGGTCTCGAACTCGCAACTCACTGCTACAGTTCTGCTGTGCTTAACCACCCGGCCTCCGGCCTGGCCGATTCTGACCAGATACTTGCGCGCAGAGCTGGGATCGAACCCGCGCCTCTCTGCACCAATTGGTACTCCGAACTTTAACCACTGGACCACATCAAATTTTATTCAAATTGGGCTCAATGATGACTGGATAAGCTGTGTACCAAGATCGAAACTCTGATGGATACTAAAAACTTGTTGGTGTATAGCTGGAATTTTTTGCATTGCCGTTGTTTTAACTTGTGTGAATGTTCAAATTACTTTTGAATTAAATTAAAATACTTAGTAGCATTTGCTAAGGCTTTCTCTGACTAATAATGTTTGAAACACAAATAAAATAATTCCTTCATTGCTTAATCGTAGGCCAAATATTCTTCTGTAATGCCTATGCAAGTGATCGCTCGTTAACAACCTGTGAGCAATGACTGTCATCATTCTAGTGATGCGCAATTTATGACAATTACAAGTCATATCTTTTGATCATTCTGTTGAAGATCGTATCAACGATTCATGTATTGAAACAGAGCTTTATTCTTTCACGTGATGTAATTTCAGGATGTGCGTGTGGATGGATATTCAGTGAATAAGTATAACTGTTATTCACTGTTATAACTGTATAACTGTTATTCACTGTTAAAAAATCACTGTTAAACGGTCTCATCGGCGTTCTAGTATCCGGCCGGCACGTGAACAGAAACACCATATGACCGTTTTTATTCAAATTTAACACTAGAAACCCATACATCTGAAAAAAAACGGCGAAATGGTTTATTTTCATGTGGCGGCCGGCCACTAGAACGCAGATGAGACCGTTTTTTTCTAACAGTGTAATACACCTCCCAATTCTAAGAATAATCGAGTTGTTGAAGAGCGACAGCGTCACTGAAATATGAGTTTATGAATGAGACACTATTTAATGTTCAAGTTCGTTCGATCGTTCCTATTAACTATTGTAGTTCGTTCCCGCTGAAAGTTAAATCTCATGACAACTTCAGCAATTTACGGTTTCCCGTGCAGGAAATGTCCTGCGCATGCATACGGCTCAACAGTTTTTATTTTAAAACAATTTTTTATAGAAATTATCAAAAAATCTACAGGAAAAATTTTGGCAATTTTACACTTCTTGCATTCCGAAATTTACGAACACCTTGCTAAAAATACCGAAAACGTGTCCAGTGAACAAATTTAGAATTTGACATTGTTAAGATGATACAGTTACAGAATTCGCATGCTTTATATTCAAATCTTGTGCAGAGAATTTACAATATATCACCACAAAACTCATCACATGATTCGTTATTATTGACGATGGTGTTTTTTTTGTATTCTCTTTCATTCATTTGTATTCTCATTCATTCATATTATTGTGATTGATTGATGTGAATGATTTACAATATTATTCATAATAAAAATTTCTCGTTTATGCCACAGAAACTCCGCATATTTCGGCTTCTTGGAGATCTGCAAACCCCAGCCCGGCGACGTTGTGGTCGTGAACGCTGCTGCAGGAGTCGTCGGCAGCGCTGTATGTCAAATAGCAAAGTTGAAAGGTAATTTTATCTTGCAGCTGCTGCTAAGATTTAATTGCCCTGTAATAAATTGTGACATAGCCAATTTCTTTACATCGCGCTAGGATGCTAATAATGTTCGTGCTTTCCAGGTTGAAAATTATTTGCGTTCGCGGGATATAATAACTGTGGTTTCCTGGCTGCAAAGTTAATCGGGTTTACGGGCTTGAAAGGTCCTCGCTTTCATGGCTGCAAGGTAATCGCGTTCGCGGTCTAATAGTTACCACGGTTTCCGGGCTGATAAGTAATCGTATTAGCAGGCTAATAGTCAATATGGTTTCCTGGCTGACAAGTAATTGCGTTCTCGGTGTAGTGGGCTTAGTGGTAAACAAAGGATGAATAAAAATGATAGATAAGAACTATAATATTAAACAAACTTCAAATTCAACAATATAAAACTATAAACCGTATTTATACTTAGCTCATGTCTCCTACACCTCGATCGAGTCTTAAATTAGTTTCGGATTCAATATTTGAAGCATTTCTCCCTGGTGGATCGATCACATATCAATGAATAAATGCAGGGCATATCTAAACGAGGTCACGCCCGAGTGATTTTAAACCAAACGTCATAATTCTAACTTTTAGTAAAACAGTGTTGCACTGCATCCCCTATACAGCGGGCTAATAATGTCATCGGCTTCCAGGCTGTAAGGTAATCGCGTTCGCCTAATTACTTATAACCGTGGTTTCCAGGCTGCGAGGTAATCGCGTTCGCTGGCTTATAAATACCTTGGTTTACAGGCTGCAAGGTAATCGCGTTTGATTGCTAATAGTTACCATGGTTTCCAGGCTGCCAGGTAATCAGGGAAAGTAATGACTCCTACCACGTGTAATCGCACATAAATGACATGTAAAAGTATAAAAAATTGATCATATGAATATTCGTTGCTATTGGTCACATCAAACGTTGTTCTAACTTTCTAGACGCACTTCCGGTTAAAGCCGTTGAGCAAAACCTTTTAACTTTTCGTCCGAATTGCCGCACCACGACCAACGATGAGACCATTCGAAATTTTCACCTTCCCTTCATCCTCTATTATTTACCATGTAAAGCAGATCCCATCGGCCATCAGCAGTAATCATGAGCAAGATGAAAGAAGGCTTCTGCTATTTTCTATTTTTAATGCTTATCATTAACTTGCTTGGGAGCGCAGCCGTGCATCACCAATTTTGTGCACCAATAAGCCCTGAATCGAACGCCTTGGATCGCTCCTGACCTACACCAATCAGCCGTGCACCACTCGGCTTTGTCCTCTTTATACCAAGTAGCGGATGGTTAGGGATTGATTAATTGATTAAATCAAACGTTCTTGGAGTCAATGATACTGTAGTTATGAATGGTTTGTTCATACATTGAGGACCATTGACACTGGACAGATACACAATGAGAAGCGACTTGAATTGGGTTGTGTTATATATGAGCCTCCACATGCATGACTATATATACTGTACGGAAGCCGGCTAGGGTGGGCTGACCTAAATCAATCACTTAACAGGAAACGGAACGATCGCATATTTTCGGGACCACGACAGTCTGTTTAAGAATACGCTCGAAAGAAAATTAGGCTCAAGCTAATAACCAAAATTTTTACTTAGATAGTCATCCAAGTGACACAGAGTGAACGGAATGTTTAAATGTTTTCTGCCGTGTTCGACGCTGTAAGTGTCCTTGCAAACGGTCTTCTGTGTAATATCTTCAACAGCCCGACGTACGTTGTTCCACTCAATGGACATTTGCGGTCAAGTCTATTCCTGACTCGTGAACATCTAACTTAAACTCTCAAACTTCTCAACGTAACCTTTTTTTTAGTAATCTAGTCATGGACCCACTGTTCACTTAATGCTTTCCATACTCATCATAGAAGAGGGTATATTATGTCTCCAATTACTTACTGGCAACAATTCACTTTCACAACATGAAGCTATTAGATTTCCATGAATGGAAACTTTTAATTTACTGACAAGTAATTGAAATGTTTCCTTCTGCCAGGTTGGAGGAGAGTTCTCGTCAAAAGTGATCCCTTTGATGGCAAGCATGGGCCGCGTGTCACTGTGCGGTGCAATATCCACGTACAACGACCACACCAGACACATTGGGGTCTCAACCATGTGCAGTGAGACACGATTGAGATGAGCGGTTGAATATTTGTTCCTATTCCCATGTAATGTTTCAAAATTGTCTTCATTTCCCGACGAAGTTGATGAGTTGCTTTGAAGAAGATGATTTGCACATCAGATTTCATCTGACTGACAGTTTTAGGTAAGACTTTTGAAATTTTGCGAGCCCTTCAACCGCCAAGGAAAATGCACGAGTTTTAAATTGATACACATCAGTCTAACGTGGGTATCTAACAAATAAGGACAATACACTTCCGATGTAAGAGGAGGTTAATTTCGATCAAAGCAATATTGTAGACAAAATACCAACGCTTAATCTTATAATTCTGCTGTTTCACCGAAAACTTTAACACCAGTACAAGGGGACAACACAAAATTTTCATTGTTTATTCAGTGTGTTTGATTCAACACATCTACCAAGTTTGAAGATTCTGTTGACTTCACTCGTCCTATAGTGCTATGACAAATTTGTACTCCCAGGAGTAAACTGACCTTCAACTAGGCGTTTTTAAAATAAATTTACCTATTGTAATAAAAAAGCTGAACTTTCATCGTCTGAGATAGGCGGCTCACAGAGTTTTGACACCGCCGGAAGATGAAAGGTAGGGAAGACTGTGGCAGATTTCGGGTAACCGCGATTTTGAAATCATATCAGTGGCAGGGTGGCCCAGTGGTTAAAGTTCAGAGTACCAAGATTGGCGCAGGGAGGCGCGGGTTCGATCCCAGCTCCGTGCGCCAGTTTCTGGTCAGAATCGGCAAGGAGGCCGGGCGGTTAATTAAGCACAGCAGAATTGTAGCAGTGAGTTGCGCGTTCGAGACCGTACCAAGCTGTGAATATACTGAGATGTTAAGAATCGGCGACAGGCCTACGGCCTAATAAACGCTGAAACCGCTATTATTATTATTATTATATCTCTTTTGGGCTGATGTGGGGTCCTATCATATGACTTAAGTCATAAAAACATCCAACTTGATTTTCTGTATCTAGTAGTTGCCGTAAAAGCCTGTAGGGTACATCCAGTTAATAGCATGAAGAAGAGATTTATAATGAATTTACTTCGACTGATATGAGATTCTGCAAGACGTGTCGAAAGAGAAGTGTCTCTGTACACATAGAT